TTGGTGAATTACGGGCTATTTTCATACTTACGTGAGAGGGGAGCTGTAGTCTTGGACCAACGCAAGATTAGTCCATTTAAACCCAGAACTTTGAGGGGTGTTCCTCAGGGAAAGGTGGGACTAGAAAATGGCACCCACGAGGAGGATGACGAGGAACCTCCTTGACCCCTGCTTGGATAAGAGTTTCCACTGATATGACGCCCCAGGGCTGGGTATCCTTTGGCAGGGTATTGGAACTTGGATGAACTTCATGGTCCAAAAACTTTCAACCTGAGAAATTAACATCAAAATTGCCCTGGACTTGCTGATATCCATGGAGTCCTTAGTATAAATCAATGCAAACCTGCACTGAAGAGGTGTTCTCATAACCCACTGGGCTAGAAATCCATATGGAATGGTAAGAACATTCTAAAGTTGAGCACACAGCCAAGTGTGGTGGTGCACGCCTGTAATTCCAACTACTTGGGAGGCTGAAGCAGGAGGATCACAAGTTTAAGGCTGGCTTGAGCAACTTAGTGAGACCCTGTCTCAAAATAAAAATTAACGCTGGGGCTGTAGCTCAGTGGTAGAGCGCTTGCCTAGCATGTGTGAGGCACTGGGTTCGATTCTCAGCACCACATATAAATAAATAAAATAAAGGTCCATTGAGAACTAAAACTATATTTAAAAAAATTAAAAAGGACTAGTGATGTAGCTTGGCAATAACGTGCCACTGGGTTCAATCCCCAGTACCAAAAATAAATAAATACATAGAACCAAATAGAATTTCTGTAAACAAAAAATAGTTTGGGGCTAGGAATATAGCTCAGTTGGCAGAGTGCCTGCCTGGCATGCATAAGGCCCTGGGTTCAATCCCTAGCACCAAAAAATAAATAAATAAATAAAATAGTTTGGCCTTAAAAACTGAGCAGGCTGGGACTGGGATTGTGGCTCAGCAGTAGTGTGCTTGCCTGGCATGAGCAGGACCCTGGTTCGATTCTCAGCACCACATAAAAATAAAGGCATTGTGTTGTGACATTTACATCTAAAAAAAAAAAAAAAAACTGAGCAGGCAAGTTAAATAAATTAGAAACAATTGAAAAGTTACATGAACTAGAAGATAAATGTGAGGAAAATACTCAGAATGTATCAGAGATAAATATAAGAAATGAAAAGGTAGGAGACATAGAAGACATGCATAGAAAAAAAGATCTATCACAACTGCTATAGGTTTTTTGACTTTTTCTGCACCATAGATTCCTTTTTAGAATTATTTACTTATTCATTCACTTAGTGGTCCTGAGGGTTGAATCTAGGGGTGCTTTACCACTGAACTACATCTGTATTCCATTTTAAAATTTTTGAATTTTGAGACAGGGTCTCAAGTTTGAGGCTGGCCTCAAAGTTGTGATCCTCCTGCCTCAGTCTCTGGAGTTGCTGGGATTACAGGCAAGCAACACGATGCTTGGTGCAGAATTATATATGTATATATATATATATAATATATAAATTATATATATATATATATATATATATATAGAGAGAGAGAGAGAGAGAGAGAGAGAGAGAGAGAGAGTGTGTTTGGGGAAGGCCTACTGGGGATTGAACTCAGGGACACTCAACCACTGAACCACATCCCCAGCCCTATTTTGCATTTTATTTAGAGACAGGGTCTCACTGAGTTCCTTACCACCCTGCTGTTGCTGAGGATGGCTTTGAACCCATGATCCTCCTATCTCAGCCTCCCAAGCTGCTGGGATTACACGTGTGCACCACTGCACCCAGCCAGAATTATATTTTTTAAAGTATAAAATAAACATAAAAGTATGAAATTCACAATTATAGTGAAATTCTATTATCAATATGCTTTAAAATCAACCTATTTGAAATACAAATTACATATATAATACATGCATTTTGAGTTTAGTCTGATGAGGTTTTTTTTTTTTTAATATTTTTTAGTTGTCAATAGACCTTATTTATTTATATGCGGTGCTAAGAATTGAACCTAGTGCCTCACACATGCTAGGCAAGCCGCAACCCCAGTTCAGTCTGACGAGTTTTGATAACTGTATGTACTCATGTAATCACTACTAATCAAGGTTCCTGGACCCTTCTCATTCACCCCTGGAAAAGTCCTCACCAGAAAAATTTGTGATTTGCTTTATCACCATATATTAGGGATATTTGTAACATACTATTCATATAAGAAAAAGCAGGTGAGGTGAAATACCATGACTTCTTTGCATTAGTTTTGGACCCAACAGCCTAATTTCTCTTGTTGGTCCTTATTTTCTGATAGTGTTGAGTTTTCCAGATAATCATGCCATCTGCAAATAATGGTCATTTTACCTGTTGCTTTCCAATTGGTGCTCAAATTTCATTCTACTTCTAACTGCCTTGACTTTTATCCTTGGGACAATATTAAACAGTAGTGACCATGGTCAATATCCTTACTTTTTCTAATGGAAATAATTCTGTTTTCCAGTAAAGCATGAAGCTTGCCTTGGGTTTGTAATGTGTGTGTGTGCGCGTGTGTGTGTGTGATGTGTGTGCATATATATTTAAGGGGTTTTTCTTTTCTGTAAGCAAAGCTGCACATTAATAATTATCTGGTTGGACTCAAAAGTGCCACAGAACAGTTTTTATTTTGGAGCAGGACACAGAACAAACCATGACAGACCCAGATTGAAAAAAAAACCACACACTTGGGCGAGGAAATTATTTCTGATAAAAAGCAAGTCAAGGCTCTGTTTTATACCAGAGGATGGTGGGTAAGGCCAAAAGTTCTTCAAGAGTTGGAGTCCATTTCTCTTCTGCTTGAGGTTGGCTGGCCTTGTTTCTTATTTAGGCCAATAAAATATGGCACATGGGACCCTGAGAAACTTCCACTGCTGCCCTCAGGAGATCTAGCTCATTCTGTCCCATCTTGGGGGACAGGTCTTCTTAGAGCTGCCATTGCATGAGGAAACCCAAGCAGCTGCATGGAGGAGGTACATATGCAGAAGCGCCAAGACCCCCGCTAGGAGGCAGTGCAATGCTTTAAGCCAAGTCAGCGGACACTTTGGAACTTTTAGCTATCCAGGGGCTTGAGCCAATGCCACCTATAGCAAAATATAACAGAAGCAGTGGGTGATCCTGAGTGTGAGATAGCTCAGGACCTCCTCCCCCTCGGTGGCCACTGACATCCTGGTTTTCTCCATAGTGTGTTGGAGAAGCAGGAGTGTGGCCTTTGGAGTCCACAGAACTGGGTTTTATTTTAAACTTTCCTCTTTCTGACTGAGCAAGCTGCCAGAATTTCCCAAGCAGATGGGAAATTTCCACCTCCCTTTTTGTTGTTACTGCCCAAGAGTGGTGGGAGGTTCCATCCATTCAAGACTGTCCATCTCTTTCTCCCAGACAGCCCATAGCAGTTACTGGTTCAAATGCTCAAGAAAGGCTTTTCTGCCTGCGTGGTCTGACTTCAAGCAGAGACTGCTGGTTTGCACAGCATGATCAGGTCACACACATCGTGGAACTAAGACTCCAGTGGTTTGGGGAGGTGTAGACAGACTTGCAAGACTACACACTCTTCTAGCCCAGCCTCTCGCTCTCCCACTGGCCCAAAGGCCTTCACTGAACCCTAACACGTTTTCAAGGTGGTTGTCCCCTACAGCTTGGAAGAGCTGTCCCCAACCTGCCCATATTTCTCTGCATTCTTTCCTCACTGGAGCAACATACTTCTCAGCAACGTCCACCTACCAAGCTGGGGAGCTCTCTTGGCCTTACTTACCCAGGAGGCCCATTGCTTCCTCCCAACCTGGGGCACTGGCTAGCTGGGGGCCCCCGCCAGCCCCACGTGCTAGACCTCCAAGCAGGTGCTTACTGTCCACCAGCCTCTCCAGCTTGCAGGGTGGGGAAGGAAAGCTCCCCTGCCCTCCTCCAGGCCCGCCCACTTGGTTTTCTATGGCACTGTCACAGGCTGGTCACCTGTGTCAGTGTACATCAGCTGCCTGGAAATGGAACCTGAGCAATGATGCCAAAGTCCCTGCCAAGTCCCTTTGCCACATCACTTGCAAGACTCATGTCAGTGGGATCAAGAGGAAACCCAGACTGGAATCATCTGTGGTTGTTGATTGGCTCCTTCCTCTGGGTCTGGAAGATGGGTGATATGATGAAGCTGGTCAGGGAGAGAAGGGAAAAGTCCATGTTAATGAAGGATAAACTGAGGCCCAGACATGCTAGAAACCGTCCCCAAGTGATGGAACATATCAGCAAATTGGAGACCAAAATTGGCACTTGACCTGAGGCCCAAGCAAATCTTCCCTTCAGATGGGGCCACTGTGCACTCGAAGTCCCAGTCCCTGGGGTTGGTGAAGAGGCTGCCCCTGATCTCACCTTGGCCCCCAACAGGCTGGGCAAGGTGAAACCCAAATCACTTGGTCTCCTTGGCACAGATCCAGGGTCTGGGAGAGCTGCAGTCTAGAGCCAGGAGCTGGCCTTCCTCCAGGACCCCGCAACTGAGATCTGGGTTGTCCTCACCCTCCTCTGGAAGTCTGGGAAGGGCGAGAGGGGAAATGGGAGACGCTCAGGATATCAGGCCTCCTGGCTGGCATGGGCCCGCCCAGCTGCGTGCCCAGTCCCTCCATGGACCCAGATACTGTGTAGGTCACTGCACAGAGGCAGGGGGCTGTCTGGAAAGGACACAGGATGTCCCCTGTTGGTCAGCTGTGTGGCACTGGTGAACACCGAATGGCTCTGGCTGTAGACTTCGTATCTGTGAGATGGCAGTGACGGTCCTGCTTGGGTGAACGCGCTGGGGGACCCACAGGAGGGGTGGAGAAAAAAGGAACGAAACTGATGCCAGGGTCCTGGGTGGGGTGGGTCTCCCTAATGCACTGCAGGCTGGGTGGGGCATGGGAAGATCCCGAACAGCAGAGGGGGAGGAAGCCCACGGTCACTCACAGCTGGGTTGGCAAGGGGGTCCCATCGGTCCAGTGCCAGCCCTGGGGGCCTCGCCGGGCCCCCACCCAGGAACGTTTGGTGATCTGGTATCTGCTCAGGAAGTCCTGGGGAGGAAAGCACACTGTCACTCTTCTTTGGACGTGGGCGTGGCTTACCAGGGCGCTTCCCCGAGGCCTCTGTAGAAGAGAGCCAGGTCCATGCACGGCTTGGCGCAGCCCTCAAGGGGGTGAGAACCACAGTCACCACTCAGCATGGGCACAAAACTGCTCAGAGAGGACCTGCGTCAGGTTGGGAGGCCCTGAAGCACGTCCAGGTAACCGCAAAAGCCTGGTGGGGCTGAGGCTCGGGCTGGCCATTGACTAAGCAGCAGGGGAGGCCGGGGAGCAGATGGCTGCAACGAGACAACTAAGTACCTTGCATGGGTTCAAGGCAGTAGTGGTCACTTAACACAAAAGTGCGTACAAAGGCCAAGGAGCCACATGGGAAAAGCAGTATAGCTCATGAAATGAAAAAGCTGAGTCAGCTGGGCACAGTGGCTCAGGCCTGTAATTCCAGGGTCTTTAGGAGGCTGAGGCAGGAGGATTGCAAATCAGAGGCCTCAGCAACTTAGCAAGATCATAATAAACAATAAAAAGGGCTGGGGATATAATTCAGTGGTAGGGCAGGCACCCTGGGTTCTTATACCCAGCACTGAAAAAATTTTCAGAAAGCCAAAAAAAAAAAAAAAAAAAATCAAAACTGTGGCATGACTATAACAATAAAAAAATGTGTGCGTGACATAGTCACACAAAGAATGACAAAAACCAAAATCAGTGTGTTAGTGTTACTAAAGATGAATTTTTCTTTTTACCTTGTGTTTGTTGTCATATTAAACAGTGAATTAAAGCAAAAAAAAAAAAAGTGTTTGTTTTAGAAAATGAATATGAGTTTTTCTAACTGAGAAAAACAGTTTGTCCCAGGGTGAGGACTTGGGGGTGGGGGCAGTGATGATGGTACAGCCCACACCAGTTTTCCTTCTGGGACATGTTTTGGTGCCACATAACCCGAGCAGCAGTGCCATCCTGTAGCTCAGATGGGTGACTCCACTTTGAAGAGTAAACCAAGAGTAAAAAGGGAGACAGAGAACTTATTCAAAGACAACACAGTACTGTTAGACCAAAAAGAAAAAAAAAGAACTACTCAAGTGCCCAGAAATCAGGAAACAACTAGGCAGATTATGAGATATCAACCTGATGGAAAATTACAGTGCTAAACTGATAACATGAGATCATGCTTAGTTAGGGGGGTGGAAAGCAGGGGCCAAGGGTGTGGCTCAGTCACAGAGCACTTCCCTAGCATGTGGGGAGGCCCTGGTTTCCATCCTAGCACTATTAAAAAACAAAAAAAAAAAAAAAACAGAAAGTAGCCAGGTGCCGTGGCACGCGCCTGGAAACTCAGTCAGGAGGCTGAGGTAGAATTGCAAGTTCAAAGCCAGCCTCAGCAACTTAGCAAGACCCTGTCTCAAAATAAAAAAAATAATAAGGGCTGAGGATGTTGCTCGGTGGTAAAGTGTTCCTGGGTTCAATCCCCAGGGCCCAAAGTAAGTAAATGAATGAATGAATGAATGAATGAATGAATGAATAAATGAGATCATACCAACAAATACATATCGCTGATGGCAAAGAGGCATATATTCACATTGACGGAGACTAGAAGTGGCCTAGTATAACTTAATTTAAGCACCCGAGTTGTCCACAGTTGTACCCTGGGTGCGCCTCACCTACCCTTCAGGTCTCAGGGTCAAGATGACTTCCTACAGGGACACCAGGCTGATCCCTCCAAGGTGAGCTGGGTGACCCTCCCTCCCACGGCCTCCTATAACCTTCACAGAATAGAGCTGCCGGGCTGCTTTTTAAGGGCTTGCTCACTTGAGCTTGGTGAGAGCAAGGGACCTGTTGTACCCTGAGACCCAGCACACAGTAGGCCAGCTCAGCAAAACTGCCAACAATCAGTAGAGGCCACAGGTTCAGGCTGGACCACTATGGGCCCCGCAGGGGTCAGTGCAGAGCCATCTTCTGCCCCCTAGGGCCAGCACCAGCTGGTTATCAGCCAGGAGAGGAGCCAACAGCAGCTTTCAGGCTCTAACCTTGACCTTCAACCCCAAAGACCATGTGTGACCACGTGTGACAATGGGGAGCAGTAAGTGGTCAGACCAGGTGAAACCCAGTGGCAGGCTGCCGTTTCCTCCTCTGCTGGACTCCACGGGCCGGGCTGTGGGAGGGAACCCTGGGGAGGGTAAGAAGGGCCCCCACGGTACTGTGATGTGAGTTGGGACTAAGCAGTCCCAAAGCTTCTCCCTGCCTGGTCACAGATCTGCCAGCTTCAGCTACTGACGGTGTCCCTTTGGGAAGGCACATCAGGGCTTGGCTGATGCCTGCCCCACACTCAGACTGGGGCCATCACTGTGCGGAGAACTCTGGTGCCAGGACACCCCATCTTCAAATGCAGTCCCGTGACTTGTAAGTCATGTGTCAAGGCATCCAGCTTTTCGGAGCAGCAAGGTCCTCTGTGAACACGGGGAGGCTGCATTATGAGGCTGAACATGTAAATCTAATGGCACATAGTACATACTCATTAAATGCCCTTGCAGCCATGAAATCTGTCCCTGTGGTGTGATGGGTAAAACTTTGTCCTCACTGCCAACAAATGTGACCTGGTTTGAAGTTTATGGTCACCCATGTGGGATACGGGCTTGTTTTTTGTCCAAGTCCAGAGCCATCTGGTTCTCCTGCTCCTCCTCATTTTGCCTCCCATTGACAGGAGCTGATGGCCTGTCCCCACCCGCTCCACTCCAACTCTTCATTCCTTGCAGTTCGGAGTCCAGTTTTCATTGTTAGCAGAGATTATGGTGCAGGAAAGGCATTGTCCGGAGTTAAAAATAAATTCCAGGAACCAGTGAGTAATTGATGGCTTAAAGAAGTGCACTCTCACGAAGGTTGGGCAGATCCCGGGCCTCCAGGGCCTTAGGCTGCAGCTTCTCCAATTTTTACCACGAATGTGGGCAGAGGGGTAAAGTGGCAAAGGGCAGAATGGACTTGAAATCTGATGATTTACATCCTAAAATGAAGATGAGTCATTCGCAATGCTTTCTTATATTTCTTTTTAAAAATTTTGTGATGAAATATGCCACATAATAAGAAAGCTACCATTTTTTTTTTTTTTTTTTTTGGTACCGGGGATTTAATTCAGGAGCACTCTAACATTGAGTCACATGCCAGCCCTATTTTGTATTTTATTTAGAGACAGGGTCTCACTGAGTTGCTTAGTTCACTGGCTTTGAACTTGTGATCCTCCTGTCTCGGCCTCCCAAATCGCTGGGATTACAGGCATGTGCCACCGTGCCGGCTTGAAAGTTACCATTTTAATCCTGTGTGCGTGTGTGTGGTGCTGGAGATTGTACCCAGGGGCATGTGCATGCTACACAGTCTACCACTGGGGCCCTCTCCTGGCCTCCATTTTAATCCTGTTTAAATGTACAGTCTAGTGGCATTAAGTGCAATCACATGACTGTGCAGCCATCCTCACTGTTCACCTCCAGAACTTTCTTACCTTCGTAAAGCGAAACTCTGTACCCATGAAACACTGAGTTTCTGTCTGCTTTCTCCCCTGCTCCTGGCAGCCACCCTTCACATTCTGTCTTTATAGCTCACTACATAGTGTGCACAGAGAAGATTCAAATAATCCAGACTACTGAATTTTCTTAATTTTTTTTTTTTTTTTGTACCAGGGATTGAACTCGGGGGCCCTCAACCACTGAGACACATCCCAGCCCTATGTTGTATTTTATTTAGAGACAGGGTCTCACTGAGTTGCTTAGTGCCTCCCTGTTGGTGTGGCTGGCTTTGAACTCTCAATCCTCCTGCCTCAGCGTCCTGAGCTGTGGGGATTACAGGCGTGCACCACCTCGCCTGGCTGAATTTCCTTAATTCTAAGATGAATATCTATGCACGGTTTTATCTTTCTGAAAATCGAGACGTGGCTTCCATTCAGTGTTACTGTTAACATGGCTCCTCCCTCCCCGCACCCGGCAAAACACCTGCCGTCAAGCCCAGGGGAGTGAGCTGAATGATCAGTGGCACAGACAGCACTGAATTTCCTCCTTTATTCTAACTCTGGTCATAGTCAGTTCTTAGGGAAGATGAGCCGTTTAGCCTGCAGCGGTGGGGACCCCTGAGAGCCTGTTGTGTCCCTGGGTTTGTGTACCCACTTATGCTGTGTTCCTGCCACACACACCTCTGGAGGTTCTGGATTGTTAACTGCCTGGATCGTGAATCTTGCTTCAGTCTTTTTGCAGGGATGGAGTTTATCTGTTTTCTGCATATTTACTTGTGTTTCAAATGATTGATCCTGTATACTTAAATCTCAAGCTCTGTTTCGACGTCCCCCATTGCAGATGCACCAGCAACAGGAAGCAGACAGGCTCAGCCAAGGTCCAGGGTCATTCTGGGTAGAACCTCCTGATGGGAGAGGCTGTGGGGAAGGAGCCCTGCTTTACTGGCTTCCTGGTGGCACCTGCAGCACTCAGTGCTGGGCATGTGGTGCAGAAGCCTGGGGCCGTCTCTCTACACGGCCTGTTTTTACCTAAACCTTAACTGTTGGCCTGGCCCAGGCCCTGGGCAGAAACTGCTGTGCTGAGCACCTTTGGCCTGGTAGGTTTCTATTCCTCTAGCATCTTCTTCCAATCCCAGCATGTTTTATTTGCAGAATTCTTAGAAAATAGGTTTTTGGGGTTTTGTTTTGTTTTTGTACTGGGTATTGAACCCTGGGGCACTTTACCACTGAGCCACATCCCTAGCCCTTTTATTTTTTATTTTGAGACACATTTCACTAAGTTGCTTAGTGCCTCACCAAATTGCTGAGGATGACCTAGAACTTGCAATCCTCTTGCCTCAGCCTCTTCAGAGTGTGCCACCACACCTGGTTAGAAAACAAAGCTTTAAAGAAGAAAATAAATTTAGCCATAATCTTGCCTCCCATTGGTAACCACTATTAAAATATTAGTATGTTTTTCAATCTGCCTTTCAGTTTTTTTTCCTGTGTATATCATATTTATCATATTCAGATCATGCAGGGAGCAGAGAAAATTTAAAAAACACTACAATTAAGTTCCACAATAAACCAGGCATGGTGGTACATGCCTGTAATCCCGGCAACTTGGGAGGCTGAGGCAGGTGGATCATGAGTTCAAACCCAGCCTCAGCAACTAATGGAGGCCATAAACAACTCAGCAAGACCCTGTCTCTGAATAAAATATAAAAAAGGGCTGAGGATGTGACTCGGTGGTTAAATGCCCTGGTACCAAAAAAAAAAAAAAAAAAAGATCCACAAGAAGACAAGATATTGCATCCATGAAATAGGAAGAGAACACCATAAAAACAGGAACATTTGAAGGACCATCCACTGACCAGCCATCCAGAAATAAATGCTGGGCTGGGGTGGTAGCTCAGTGGTAGAGCGCTTGCCTAGCATGTGTGAGGCACTGGGTTCGATTCTCAGCACTGCATATAAATAAATAAAAAAGATCCATCGACAACTAAAAAAAAATATATTTAAAAAAGAAATAAATGCTTGTTGTTAGAAGTTGTTGAAATTGAAGAGTTTGGGGGTGATTTGTTACTGAGCCCTATTATAGCAATACCTGACTAATACACTTGTTAAATTGTACTTTATTTTCCATACCACCTTCTATAGAGGACAGGTCTGGCTCCTGAGCACACTGGTAACTTTGGGACTGACAGGCAGGGTGGTTGGGGATATCCCAGCTTCTAGATGAAGCCCTTGGAGACCTGATGTTTGGTCCCCCTGCATGTCACCCTATTCCTGTGGCTCTTGGTGACTTCTAGGACGTAGAAGGACCTCATCTAGGATTCTGGGATCTTGGATGACATGCACATTCCTCTTATGGTCACCTGTCTCACCTGGGTGTGGCTCAGCAGGGGCAGGGTAGCATGGTGGGCCAAGCAGAACGCCTGGCTGGCCTCCCAGTCCTGTGCTTCTGAAGAGAGGTAGTAACAGTGCTCCCTGGACCATATCCAGTCCTGAGGGCATGGCCGGCACCTGGCTCCTGCAAGCACAGAGACCCTGGTGAGTCCTGGGGTAACTATAAGGAATTAAAATGTGTACACTGAGAAAACCTGGCCATGACCTTGACAGAGGGGAGATTCTAGGGGCTGGAGCTGGTAAACCCTGGGGTGGCAAGGGGAGGTGAGCCAGGACCAAGAAGGCCACACATTTCCCCAGAAGGACTCAGCAGGGTACAAGCCGTGTCCAGTGAGAAGACAGAATATTTTTCTTATCTCTGCCCATGTCTTCATGCCACACCCCCCCCCCCATGGGACATCTCATCCTAATTATAAGGGCTGGAGGTGGCCCTGGTGGAGGAGCAGAGGGGAGCAGGGACACTGTACCTGCTCTAGAGGCCAAGGCCACAATGGTCACCGTGGAGACTGCCAGGAGCACAGCCATGACTGCCAGAGCCCAGCGCAGAGACTTCATGTACATGGGCAGCCCTGGGGGTGGGGACAGGCAGAAGGGAGATGTGACAAGAGACCACCCAGCCAAGGCCCACCCAGAACTCTGCCAACTCCTTACACCAGTGTCATGGCCTCCTTGGCCCAAATTCAAGCTAGGTCATTTGGGAGAAAGATGCTAGAAGATGGTTCTTTTCTCAAATCGTTAGAAGTTGTAAGGTTCTATAAAAGAGTGGGAACAGATGAGGTCAGCAGCCATTCATTGAGCACAGGGCATTCGACCCAAGCACAAGTAGAATCAGGCAAAGCCCTACACCTAGTGGGCCTAACAGGCACCCAGGGGACACTGCCCACTGAGAGGAACAAGGGCTCCGCTCGCTGGAGTTCACCCAAATCCTATGGTCTCAGCACATAGGGCCTGCGGCTCCAGGATAAGTGGATCAGAGGGCTGGGGCGGGGCTGCAGGAATGGAGGGCACACCAGGTGGGGAAAGCAGGCAAGGGCACAGAGCAGCAGAAGAACAGCATGCTTCCTAGTGCCAAGCCTCGCCCTGTTAAAGGAGTAACTGGGGAAGCCAGCAGAGTACAAGAAAAGAGGCATGATTGCAAACACTTCATCACAGCCCGGGATCTGGAGATTCACACCCCAACTGAGCATTCCTGAATTTGATCTCTTTGAGGACACAGCTTGAAATCAAGCAAGAAGAGCAGTCTCCTCTCCCAGAGCCTATGCTGCAAGGGCCCCAGGAGTCACTCAAACCTCGGCAAGGAGGACCAGTAACCATCACACTTCCCAAAGCCTGGAAATAGCGGAGGTAATTCTGCAGTGGTATTTTACCATTTTGAAAAGACCAACTGCATCAGAACAACACCACATGTGTATTAGCATGTTTCATACCCACATGTACACATACCTACACAGAGATGGACACGTTTCCAAGATATTTAATAACTCATTATTCATCTTTTCAGACAGAAGCACTTTGAAATCCCTATGTTTTCATTTGCTTTGGAAAAAAAATACCTGCTTCAAAAATCAGAAAAGGAAGTGTATTATGTTGATATGTGAAAATTTAACATCCACCTATAAACTTGTTTTTTTTTTTTTTTTTTTTTTGTACTTGGGATTGGAGGGGGCGGGGAGGGCTTAACCACTGAGCTACACTGTCAGCCCTTTTATTTTGAGACAGGGTCACATTAAATTGCTGAGGCTGGCTTTGAATCTGAGATCCTCCTACCTCAGCCTCTATAGCCGCTGGGATTATAGGCGTGCACCACTGCACCTAAGGGATTTTTTCCTCCCTTTTTTATGCTGGAAATTGAACCCAGAGCCTTAAGCATACTAAATATGCACTCTACCACTGAGCCACACCTTTAGTCCTACATTTAAAACAACAACAAAAAGCTACACATACAATTTGCTTCTTTAAGGGATTTAACCCACATTTCCATCAATATATCAATGGATAAAAAAGACATGGTATGCCATATCATAGAATATTATTCAGCCCTAAGAAGAAATGAAGAACTGATACTTGCTACAACATGGATAAACCTTGAAAACATTAAGGGAAATACTCCATATACCAAATAATACATACTATATGAGTCCATTGATATGTTCCAGACAGAAGGTTCAGATAAAAAGATTGGTGGCTGGTGAATGGGGTGATGGCTGAAGGGTACAGTTTTTTGGGGGATGATGAAAATCTTCTAAAATCGACAGTGGTGATAGTTGCACAATTTTGAGAATATACGACAAACTATTGAACTTCAGATTGGTGAATTTTATGGCATATGAATTATATCTCAATAAAGCCCTTACCTAAACAAGGAAGAATCTGGAAATGCTTGGTATAAAAGCTACATACAAAAAGGGAGTCTTAAAATAATAAAAGCTTGGAGAAGACAAGGAAAAAAATCTACCCATCACCTAGGTAATAATTATTGTGGCTGAACACTACATTTAGCTCTGGCCTTTGTAGAAAACAAAGAGGTAAAGAAATTCAGCCTCCCACACAGGAAGGAGGACCCACTTCATTCTAAGCTGCCCCCTGCAGAGCCAAAGGGTAGTCCCCACCCTCTTCAGAAAGAAACTCTTAATCACAAAGTAAGAAAAATTACCCTCTTGGAAAAAACTGAAAACAGAGATGAAGATAAAAGCTCTTGAACTGTTTTTTTTCCCTCTAATCCTGGAACTTCTTGGATTTAAATCTAATTCTGTTTGCTTCCAGCCAACACTTCCCGATGGCCAAGGGACATTCCTATGAGAGGATAGTAATAATATAGGCCATTCTCTAGTTTCCAACTGATCTTGATTTCCTTGTCAATTCAGAACTAACACCTCTGCATCCTTTCCCACTGTTCCCACCTGCATCTCCTATGTTTTGACTACAACAAGCACTTCCACCTAGTAAAATACCGTGACTGGGAGGATCCCCCAGGTCTTATGGAACTTCAAGTTTATTCAGTTTGGGGCCATCTTCGTTGCTTTTCTTTTCTTCTTCTTCTTTTTTTTTTTTTTTGGTACTGGGGATTGAACCCAGGGGTGCTTGACCATTGAACCATATCTCCAGCCCTTTTTATTTTTTATTTTGACACAGGGTCTTGCTAAGTTGCTAAGGCTGGTCTCGAACTTTCGATCCTCCTGTATCAGCCTCACAAGTCACTGGGATTACAGGCACGAGCCACCAGGCCCAGCTGGGGGCCATCTTTAAAAAATTATACAAACTTCCAAATACTAAGGGGCCCCAGGGGCTCATGCCAGTGAGATGCCTGCTTTTGTGTCATGGATGTTGGGTAAACCTCTGCCTCTCTCCACCCGGGGACATCAATGTGTTCCTGTCTTGCTTTCCTCCAGGCACTGAAGACAGCAAGTTCTTGCTTCTTACCTCCATCACCCCTGAGTTCCTGTGCTGCTCCTCTTCTCTAGAAGACCCCTCATCCCTGCTGCCTCTGCTCCCGACAGTCCCTCCCCCTCGAGGCTACTCCAGGCTGCCTGTGCTTTTGCTCTCTGAATGTTTTCCCTCTGCCTGGACCGGGACTCCTGAGAGGGGGCCTTCACGTCCTCCTCCAAACCTTGGTGTGCCAACCCACGACAACCACTGAGATCAAACTCCCTCTCCTTTTTCTCCAGAGAGCCAGGGACCAAGAACTTCTGCCATGGACTGATGCTCTGAGCAGACCCCGGTGCCTGGAGTTGGGATCCAGGGTGTCTGCCACCTTCCCTGCCCCTGCAGTGGGGACATTTACAAGGAGGCAACCTTAAGCTGAGTGAAGAATGCTGCTGTTGGGAAGCGCAAGGACAATGAGAGTATGTGACAGGGACTCCTAAGCTGGCCTCTGGATCATAGAAGGTGACTCCAAACCAAGAAGGAAGAATATTCTTCATCTGAAAAATCTAGCTCTTACTTCATTTTTTTCAAAAAATATTTTTTTAGATGTTGATGAACCTTTATTATATTCATTTATTTATAAGCAGTGCTGAGAAGGAAGCCCAGTGCCTCACACGTGTTAGGCAAGCGCTCTGCCACTGAGCCCCAGCCCCAGCCCCAGCCCTTTCTTCACTTTAAGCTTTGCAAACTCTCCTCTCGCCTGCCAGATGCCTGCAGGAGGAGAGCTGCCAGTCAGAACACTCTGTGTGTGGTGCCTCTGCTTACACCTCTACAGTTCCTTTGGGACACCTGCCTATGTAAGCGAGGGATGAGACCAAGTAGTGACATCCCCGATGCTCTCAAGGGTGACTCTTTCCTCTAAGTTCACGAGGAAATGAGCAGCGGCTGGGATGGGGCATCATCATGCTGGCTTGGGTAAGTCACCTTCGTTTTCCCTTCTTGTTGAGGTGACCAGCCTGGTCCCACAGGCAGAGATCACTCAGCAGAGCTCCTCATCCGAGAAGAATCCTGTACACCAAGCCTCAGTTCTTTAACTTCCCATTTCCCAGAAAAAACCAAAGCACCAAGGATGGCACCCACCTGGCAATAGGTTCTGTCTGGCATCTGAGCCTGCCACCCACTCTGCTTCATACCCTCTGGTGACGTGAAGTGATCACTGTTTGTGGTAACTTTCCCTAATCAGCCCCAGAACTGCCTCTTCCCTGAAGCCTCAGTGCACATTTGACACAATTGGCCACACTTTTCGTAAACTCCCCCTTTTCTCTGTGTCTCCTGATTTCCCTTCTATAGCCCCCCACGCCCCGTCTCTGTGGCTAGCTCCTTTTCCTCTTCCTTTAAATGACACCTCTATTGGGAGGTCCCGAAGCCATTTTCTCATTTATTTCTCCAACAACACCTCTTCTGGTGTTCTCCACTGTGGAAGGATACACAATCCATTACCCAGTTACCCAAGGCAGAAACAGGGGTGACATCGCCACTCACCCAGTTAGCTTACCTTCATCTGATCACGGGTCCAGCCCATGAATTCTGTCTCATGAGCTCTCCCTCTTGCCTCTGCCATAGATCAAGCCTCATCATCTCCAGTTGAACCACTGCTATTGCCTTCTAAGCGCCCCCGCCTCAATCTCATCCCTGCCCCAGCCTTCCTCCATAATGCTATCAGAGCTCACTTTCTCCGTGTGTGTGTGTGTGTGTGTGTGTGTGTGTGTGTTGGGAGGGGTGTGGATAACTGGGTATGGAACTCAGGGCCTTGTACATCCCTAACCCTGTCAGAGCCCTTTTTCTAGAACGAAAAACCCGACCATGTCACCTTGCCTCACTGGCTCTTCCTTCTCAGGCTACCCTTCCTAGTCATGGCTTTTTTTTTTAAAGAATCTGAAAGAAAGTATAGACTGATATCATTGTAGACACAATACTGTCTTCCCAAAGATGTCCATGTCCTAATGCCACGACAAAGGGAAATCAAGGTCGCTCATCAGCCAACCTTGAGAAAGGGAGATTGTGTTGGATCATCTGGGTGAGCCCAATGCAATCATGAGGGTCCTTATTCATGAAGAGGGAGGCAGAAGAATGTGAGAGTCAGAGAGGTGGCAGCAGGAGAAGGATTCGGCCTAACACTGCTGAATTTGAATACAGAGAGGGCCATGAGCTAAGGACACACTGGCCCTTAGAAACTGTAAAAGGCAAGGAAAGGAAATCTCCCCTGCAGCCCCCAGAAAGGAACATGGCCCCACCACTGCCAGCATCTTGACTGCATCACACTTCCCAGGTACACAAGTGTAAGCAAATAAGCATGTATCATTTAAAGTCACTAAGTGTGTGGAAATGTGTTACAATAGTAACAGAAAACTAACAGTCCATCATGTAGAAAATGTGCTCAGACCAAAGGCTGCAAAAGTTCCCGAGTGAACCAAGTCTGGAACCCTCCTCATATCTGAGAACCGGGGAACCCCTTGGGATTTGGTGCCTGACTCCACCTATCTTTCCATATCAGATCTCCTGCTTCCTCCTACTTTTCCATATCACATCTCTGGAGCTTCAGGCAGGTTGCCTGCTGGGCAGGGCTCTAACCCCTCCTGGCTTCTGTTCCTGCAGATCTGGCCCTAGAAGGAGCCCTTCCCATCTCAAGTCCTCAAGATAACTACTTCAGCAAGCTTGGCCCGGCCAAGTTCACCAACCACTCCCGACCGGTTCCTTATCCAGGGTTGTTTACATCATTTCTGGGCTTTCCCCATTTTTGTGCCAAGCGCTCCACACCTCCATAAACAAAAACACACAGGCATATACCCTAGCATATACCCGTGGTCTCCACTTAGTACGTGCTGAATGGATAAGTGGAGGCCCACACTCCGCAATATAACGGAGAGGAAGGAGCCCGGGCCTTGGAAAGTTCCGTCCACGGCAGGGTTGTGGGCTCTGGCCCGGCTGGAGCCTGTGTTCCTGCCCTGGCCACCACCGCCATGCGATCCTGCATCACTTCCCCTCACCCGGAATTCTTTCTACCTCTCTTTCTGGAAGATGATGGGCACACTCAGAAGGAATGCGAAAGTTCTTTGTGGGTGGGGAAAGTTCTTTATGGGTTCTTTGTGTATTCTTTTATCGCAAACACTTTGAATTACATTTAGGTAGACCAAAATTTATTAACTCGAAGGCAGAGGGAGCAGGTGGGGTCGCGGCATCAGGACAGCCTTCGGGCGCACCAGTCCCTCCACTGCAGTGTTCTCGTGCGCGCGCCTCACCTACCCCGACCTGGCAGCGCCGACTCCTGGCGCCAGTGAGCACTTACCTATGAGTGTGATCGCCCGGGGCAGTTTTTTACCGTCCATCCCAGCACGCTGCAGCAGCGCCGCGTCCTCCTTTCCCAGTCCTTGCTCCTGGCAGCGGCAGCGACACGTTGGAGAGCCCGGGCGCCCTTCGGCCGGGCTGTCCTGGCGCTCCACGTGGTGGTCACGCTCGGTCTGGGTAGCAGCCAGCGGGGAGCAGCGGCCCAACGTCACGCCCGGAGACGGAGCTCGCTGCAGGGTGCAGGAGCGGCGGGAGAAGGCCGGGGACTCCGGTACCGGCACCGTGAGGAAGCGCGTGGAGGGCGCGGGCGAGGGCGCGCGACTGCCGGTGGCCGCGCCCACGGGCTTCACACGCACGTCCACCTGCAATTCCATGGGCGCCCAAGGGCCGGGCGCTTGCTCACCAGGGGTGGACCAGGGCACCAGCTCGCATCCAGTTGCTTCGCCATCCCGGGGTTCTTCCGCCGAGGAGGGGCCAGGCGACGGCGGCTCGCGGCTGACTGACCCCAGGCGGCGGAAGGCACCGTAACCCAGGCTGAGTGGCGGTACCCTCAGGAGCCCGGGGCGAGGGGGAGGCAGCTTCTTCTCATCTGGAAGGTCCTGGCCCGCGCCCGCTGCCTCCTTCACGACCGGGGCCAGGCTCGGGCTGCTTTCGGGACTCTCAGGCTGTTGCGCCTCCGCGGGGACGTGCGGCTGAGCTGGCCCGGGGATCTGGCTTCCCAAGGGCTCCTTTGGGAAGCCAGCCTCGGCTTGGCCTCCTCCCGAGGCCTCCTGCGTACGCTCCATCCTGCGCTCTGAGCCACCGGGAGATGCAGAGAGGACCGCACCTGGGCCCAGGTAGAAACAGCGTTGGCCTCCGGGGTCGGGATTGGTCCAGTCAGGAGCTGAAGTTGTCCAGCCACGCCCCTCTCTAAGGACCTCGCTGTAATTGGCTGTGATTAAGTTCTGTTGGCCGCGCTCCTGCAGGACACCAACCCCGCCTTAGTAGTTTAGGTCACTGGCAGGAGCGGCAGGGCGGGGCCGCGGGGCAGAGTGGATCTTTCTCTGGAGAAAAGCAGAAGAGTGAGCCTGAGGCGTCTGGGAGGGAACCCTGCGCCCCGCCGGATTCCTCCCCTTTCTTTGTCTCTTGCTCCACCCATTTCCCCCTCCCGCCCTCTGCCCCCGTGGGATTTTGAAAGTTACAGCTTGGGCGGGGAATGATTAGCCCTTCTGGATCCTAAGAACTCAGAAAAATCCGTGAGTCCAAGGGAAAATGGGCGGCCTGCGGAAAAGTGGCAGAAAGCCACTGGTTGTCCCCACAATGTAGGGGGAGGAAAGGGCACCACCCTTGAGTGCATTCCCTCTGGCTGCAGTGGGGACACAGCACTTTTGCAGTGGGGACACAGCAACCTCTGGCTGCAGTGGGGACACAGTGGAGCAGATTGATCAGAATCAGGTTTTAAAAATACAGACTTGGAGGCTGGGGATGTAGCTCAGTAATAGAGCACTTGCCTAGCGTCTGCGAGGCCCATGGTTTGATTCCCAGCACCACAAACAGAAACCAGAGTTTGGGCTTGGCGGCTTCCAGACCTACTGAATCATGCCTACAGATGAGACCTCTGGTATTTTTAACAAAAGTCCAAGTCCCAAGGTTAGCAGATAAAATACAGGCCACTCAGTTAAATTTGAATTTCAGATAAACAAGGGGTAGTTTTCAGTATAAATATGTTCCAAGAGTTGAGTTTCTGTTCTAGAGACTTCTGCTGGAGTGGTTTTAGGAACGGCATTTGAGGGAAGGGGAATAGAATTTAAGGGAGTAGTGTTAAAGTGCCCTGTGCACTTGGCTCAGGCCTTTAATCCCAGCGACTCAGGAGGCTGAGGCAGGAGGATGGGAATTCAAAGCCAGCTTCAGCAATTTAGCGAGGTCCTAAGCAATTTAGTGAGACTCTGTCTCTAAATAAAATATAAAAAGGGCTGGGGATGTGGCTCAGTTGGTTAAGGGCCCCCACCCCCCACGCGGCTCAGTTAAATTGCCAGTACCTGGAAAACAATTGCTGGGCATGTAGCTTAGTGATACAGTCCCCATACAAAAAAAGGGAGGAGTTAAAACTACTCTTCAGGGGGGCTGGGGCTGGGATTTAGTGGTAGAGCGCTTGGCTAGCACGTGTGGGGCCCTGGGTTCGATCCTCAACACCACATAAAAATAAGTAAATAAAATAAAGATATGTGTCCAACTACAAC